TCTGATTGGGCGATCCAGACTGGACTTGCTCCCTGTGCTTCCTCTGCCCGGCCTGCTCACTCACTACCTGGACTACAGAAGCAACGAGCAGTGACGCCACCGTGCACGCCGACATCACCGCTCTGTGGTTACACCGAGTCCGCCGAGATTTCACACGAGAACACGCAGACCTGCTGCATGCTGCACTCGCGCTGTTGCACAGCAGATTACTTTCATCGCCATAACTGACGATCTGTTTTTTTCACTAGGACTTTAGTTACAATGGGGACAATTTGTCTTTGTGTCTTAAACAGAATTTGGTTGTTTGTCTTCCTTTGTTTAACTTTCCTAATGACTCCTCGTGAACTTTAGGTGCTGAAACGACCGCTGTTCGCTCTGTTCAGGTCTCAGTCTGTAGGTCTCGCCTTAGCTTGGCGATGGACAGTCTTCACCGTGATTGAGCTGAGCGCCTGTTTCAGCCATCATTGTAGTTTCATTGTTCAACTTCACCTGCTTCCAAGGGTCACGGAGAAGACAAAGATGTGATGACGTGAAGACTCCAGGGTGACCGACTCCAGGGTCATCCTGGTGACTGGATGCATATATTTCATGGAAACGTCCTGGACCCCAGTGTGATGGTCCCGTCCTCCATCATTGCTGTTACCGTCTGAATTCAGTCCAACACTGACCAGAACAATACTGGATAACCCTTCATGACTTACTGATGATGATGATTTCACTTGTATTTATTCGTTTCACCTCAGCTTCGTGTGTATTTTTTAATCTTTCTGAGCTGCTTGTTTTGTGATGTCATATTTATTTTATTGTTTTCATGTTGTGACTGCTGTAATGTGATCATTTCCCAACGTTTGGGATGAATAAAGTGTGTCATATCTAATCCTCTTCAATTTCTTATTTCCTTGGAAAAGTTATTTATTTGAAGGTCGGGTGTGGAAATACCTCAGCGAGGTGTGTGGTTGAAAGACAGTTTAATTGGTTAGTTGAGTGCTTTTCAGTGTGTTGTCCACGTCTTTATGTGGCTTAAATTAGGCCAGACACGTTGAGGTGTTGTACAGTTACCTGTACACACCTGTGATTCAGCTCATTCTCTTGGTACCAAGAGGTGAGACGAATCATTGCTCCAATGATTCTGACTTATTATCTCCCCGGTCCTTTATTCTGAATGCTTTCATATGAACTCCGTGTGAATGCTTCCAATGCCTACTGTTCCCTTGGACGCACTCTTTACAATTATATATGACGTGGACAATGAGCCACATCCCTCCTAATGACGAACAAACCAGACAGGACCGACCTCTTGTCTCCACACCCAGTAATACCTGCTTTTAAGCCCGTGCGTGAGCCTGTCAGCAGTGGAGACCAGCACTGTCCTCCGTGCAGCAGCACAGCCCCACAGGTGGTGGTACTGCGTCTATATCTACACGGCGCCTCAGAGAGCGGCAGAGCCGGACGCGACCGAGAAACAACCGAAGAAGAAGAAACTGTTGCTAGCATGGAGAGGCACGGCGTGTCGGTGTAGTGGAGGCGGAGGTCGCTGCGTCAGCAGGAGCCTGTTCAACATTCAGCACAAGCGAGCGACCTGTTAGCTGCTTAGTGCTAACCTGAAGCTAACGCAGCGTAGCGGCTGCTGCTAACATGAGGCTCAAAGTGGGATTCATTCTGCGGAGCCTGCTGGTCATCGGCACGTTTCTGGGCCTGCTGGTGCTCTGGTCCAGCCTGACCCCCAAAGACAACAGAGACAACCCGTTTGAGAAAAGGGTGAGTACACAGCAGGCTCTGAGCCACACCAGTGTGAGCAGTTATGACACACGCTGTTGCACTGTGTGTTGGGCAGTCAGCGACGCTGTGGTCTGGACTCTGCCTGTACAGTCGCTGCTGCTAACAGCACCGCGGCTCCCAGCATTCATATCCGCATATGTCACCATGTTGGAGTCAAAGGCGGAAGTGGGTTGTAAAAGTTGTTCCGGTATTGCGGTTTTTCTGCAAGGTATTCAAATGATTGCATGTAGACATATGACCAGTGTG